CCTAATTGCAGAAGCTAACAGCTAATCGCAGCAAATTGCAGAACTAACATGTTCACAATTACTTACCCCATTCCTGTTAAGACTTAAATGTGAATAGAATTTTGCCTTGTAAAACCTTTTAATTCATTTTAAAGCCCGTGCAACAGACTGCTTTAACCAGAACCACACTTGCTCCTTCTTTGATCTTCCGTTGCAGTATTTCTTATTCAGTTATGATAATGTCAGCATTAATATTGAATGAACTGAGAGTGGTTATTTTAAGTCTGTACAATGTACTCCAGTTTTGATGCAGAATAGTACCCTCTGATTCTGAGCATTTAATAAATAATGTTTAGCCGGAGCTTAGAAGAATGAACAGCACTACATAAATTCCAATTTACAGTATTTGCTACTGCATAAAACTTTTTTTTTTTTTTTTAATTCCAGTACACAACAATTTTCTCCCCATCTTCCTGCATTACAAGTCCACATTCCCTTCAAATTAGAGTACTCTCCAGCTGGTAGTAGTAGGTAGCCATGCATTAATCAGTAAGCTCTCTTGACTAATCCACTTCATTCTGTCTAGTAAGAGGATTCCGCAGCAAACATGCATACAGTTTTCTAAGAATAAAGAATGCAGAGAAAGGCAGCTCCAAAGGATGTCAGGGAAATAAAAAGTGACAGATTGGTGTCATGTAGGAGAAAGTATGGCAGCAAACACCAGCACATTTCTTTCCATAAAAAGGCTGAACAATGAGGAGGTATAGCCTAATATTTGTATCATTCTTCATCATGACACGGTAAGCATTGACAGCAAATAGCGTAATAGAAAATTCTATCATCACTGATGTGGCAGAATTTTCTCTTTTTATGTTAACTCTTTTGTAGAGATTTAAATACTTATTCTTTAATTAAAGTAATATGAATACTACTGCTGCCATTGTACAGGTATAATTAACATGACTGTTAGCATTTTCACTGATTAATCTCTCTTATCTCACTTAACGTACAGTTCTTTTATGTATTTCTTCACACTTTGAAACTGTAAATTTTTGATAATTTCTGGCCATTTAAATGTTAAGCTTTGATTTTAATTAGCARGTCAGGTTTTAGCTATTAATGGTGAAAAATTCTTAAATTATGGAGGAATACAAATAATGCTAGGCACAACATTTTCYTTCTAGAAAATAAACAGTATCCAGAATTCACAAATGGGTTGAAAAAAAAGGGAGAGACTTCAGGAATTCTCAAGCCTTTTAAGCTAGACAAGTTGCTGCACACTCAGAAAATGAGAACTATATTAACTTTTACCTGATTTTTGAGTGTACTGAGAATCCCTCGATCAGACAGACAATGACTGGACTTGTTCTGCAAACTTCAGACACAAGCTTCAGACCTTGTTTCAGTAAGCATTAATACAACGTAAACTCGTCAACTCTTTGCTCTCTGATTTGCGCTAGGAACAATTTCCCACAGCTGTCCACAAGAACAGGAGGGAACTGAATTCCATGGCAAAGCTGTCTGGCAGCTTTTAAATCCTTAAAATTCATTTTCTAACACTTACGAGAAGTGAGGCTTTCACTGGATACAATTCTCAGACCGCTGGCTTTTCTACTCCCACTGGGTGTGAACTCTTACTCAGACATGAGGATAGAGTCAAAGAGTACTTTCTAAACTTGATGWTAGCTCTTAAAAATAAATAAATAGCATTTACAGCTATAACTGAATGATATTAGTAAGTAGTGGAAAAGTGTCAGTTTAATCTTGATGCCTAATTAATCAAATGCTCTTGCTTTTTACTATCTTACCATAGGAATTCTTTAGCTCCTCAAGATCTGTGCTGGTTTCTTTAAATCTAGAGCTCCTGTTCTGATGTTCTTCACATGCTGTGTTTCTACAAACTGGATGATTGTGGMTATATGATATTTTTACACAGTCTGAGAATTAAACAAATGAGAACATTAATGCTATACAAGTAATGTATGACAACACTTCATTATCTGGAAGTGTTGATTAATTGATATAGTAGTTTTCTGATCAACTTTGCAACATTTAATGCTGCAGAGGGCAACACAACAACACGTGATCTAGAGCATGGAAAAAAATTTCAGAACTACTTTCTACAGAGGGCACAAATCTTCTGAAACCTGAAGGTGTCTTAGCCAGGCCCTTCCATCCCTCATAGGAGCCCTGAATCCATGAATTTAATGGCACATGTGGCAGCCCCACTGGCCTGTGCCAGAAGCTGAGTTGCCACCACCTCCTGCCACGCCACAAGCTCCCCATTAAGCCTTGACCTGCTCAAGCTCCAGGACTGCATCCTGCCTAGATCTGAACGATCTTTCAAACAAGGAACAGTAGTTACTTTGAACRGTCTTGGAAAAAGTCATCCAAGTTATAAAAAAACAAACTGATAACTGTTCTTCTATAATAGCCTTTTCAGGATAGCAACAAGAACACACTGTCTTCTACACTACTTCTTTTAAACAAGCTTTTGACAACACCGTCTCCTATCAGCTCCTTACAAGCTCCCATCTATTCTCTTTCCTGCAGTCAGTACAAGCCCCCATTTTGTGCACGGTCAATCCCTAAGGAAAGGGCAGATTATCTGCTCACTGCTCTTGTCCACCTGGGCAAAAGACCTATGTGTTTGTATGGACCCACAAGGAAGGCAGGTGCCACTACGTGTAAAAGACTGAACCCTGTACATAAAACAAGTTACTTCTCAAGCTGTCTATGTGCATGGACAAATACTGTGTCCCAGTTGTGCTGCAGGCACCTACATGAATAAAACACGTCTATGTGATGACAGTAAGAACAAAATTGCTTATCTTTGATTTCAATGCATTTTAAAGGGTCTGAATACCAAGGATCACTTGGATAAAGGCTGTGGTACTTTGGCTACCCATCAGGATGCCAGCATCACTTCATATGTCAAGTATTAGTCAATTATCTTGATAGCAGAGCGTGTTTGGCCTCACTAGTCTTCAAATTCACAGAGTTTTTTTTTTTTTTTTTAATTACCTGTTATTATTATTACAAGGATCACTGCTGTGGGCCTCYGCCTTCAGCTGGAATGAGAGGGTAGGGTGAGAAGAGTTGCTTTTGCCTGTTCACATCAGGAAAGTCTACACGGGTGGATTCCAGAGGTATAACTGACATAAGACTTACCAAATTTTGGAAGGCACAAAATGTGTTTTTTCCCTTTTTCCTTAGAAACATTACGTCTGCAGTGCTTACTTGGACAGCAACATGCCATGCACTTTAAGAATGAAAAAAACAGATGTTAGAAAATTCTGTTAAAATATTCTATGCCACTGTACATAAAATGTATTTGTTTTAGCTTAAAAAAATGAAAAAAAAACACTTAGGAAAAGAGATGAGCTAAACTTCTCACTAAAGATCTTGCAGGCRTTTGCCTCTTGTCATATCACTCAAGTATGTGAGGGAAGGCAGACATTGAAAATAGAAAGCATCAGTGTTGCTGATTTACAGAGAGGATGATTATAGGTGTAATCCAAAATCAGGACCTTTTTTTTCATCTGGCCAAAACAGCAGGCAGTTACAGAGAATGTTACCACACTGATATAAAAGAAATAGAAAATACTAGAAATAATAAATACCTTCTTCTGAAGCACCTTAGTTCAAAAAAGCATTCTGACAATCTTCAGTACAGCACTAATGATATCACTTAAAATTTGGGGCTTTTCAGTATGCAAGAAATACTTTGCACACAAATTTTATCTTTCAGCTTTCTAGAATTTCTTCAGAAGGACTTTTCCCAGAAAAAAAACAGTTTTAACAGCTGCCCAACAGTAGCTATTAAAAAGCTGCCATAATAATTTCATGTTTGTCTTCTCTTCCCATATACTTAATRTCCCTTCTGCTTTCTGCCTTTCCCCATCATTCTTGCTCAAAACAGGAACAAACACTTGGACGGAAACGCCTTTGACAGAGCGTGTCCCCTTTGCCAGGTAACTCCAAGCAAACTGTAAACCACTTCAGTTTGGCAGGATACAGTTTTCAGAGAATTACTGAGCTACTACTATACTTGAACTTTGCCATTTACGATTAGAGTTCAACAAGGGTTATTCAGAGCGACTTCAACAAAGGATGCTTGTATATCATCACAAAAGTCAACTATGTTTTGAACTATAACAATTTATAAATAACTCCTGCACATTCTCAAAAGGAGTCCTTAGTGCTTTATGCACAAAGTTCCAGTAAAAATTAATCCAGAAGTCTGGAGAAATATACCTTTCTGTGCACATCTTGCCCTGCACATAAAAAAAATGCAATGTTTCAAATATGAAATGCCCTTTCCCAAAAGGAAAGCAGTGCATATTTGAGGATGTTGCCTCAGCTGACTGTCCACTGAACTGCAGTGGAAATGCTAGTGCGGTCTGCACCCAYAGAATGGGCCTGGGCACCCAGTCCCTGCTCATACTGCAGCACTGCAGAGCTTTTGCTAGTGTAGACCTTTCTTCAGGGCTGAGAGCCTGCACGTGCTGTCAGGATGGCATCATCACACTATGGTGCTGCCAGAGCCCCTGGTTGGACATTGCACAGAGATTTAACCAAAGCCTCCCCATACATGCCAAGCCTGATTCAGAGGAACTACTTTGGAACTGAGGATAYAGCTCAGTTCCAGCACTGACAGACTCCTTGGTGCTTGTGCAAAGACCAGTACGTATCAGAGACCCCAACATCACGAAGACTTGGGTGATATTTATGTACGTGACCTTAAGTTTCGAAAGCTCATTCATGAGACTGATATGATGTATGTGGGTGCCTCTTGTTGAGTCAGTTTGAGGCACATTTGTAATTGAGGACACTAATCCACAAGGAAAAAATTGAATTCTTCAGTTAAGAGCACCAAAAAAGCAAAAGATGGAAATAACCTTTACAGATAATATAGATAGAAGTCTGTAGGTAAATAGTATTTCACTATTGTCTTCCAAAAAGCATCTGCTTCATCATCCAAAGTTTTAAACCAGAATCAAAACATTTCAGCTTCTGAAGCAATGTACATTTATTACAGATTATTGCTACATTTTTACTATTACAAACAATATAATTTACAATACAGAGCTGTTAGAATATATCATTCCATGTTCCAGTTCTGTTTACAGTGCAACTTTTTAAACATTTTTGATGAAATTACAAAGAGGAGAACACAACTGGGTTATTTTGCACCTGAAATATCAATCTTTTACAGCGTAATGATTAGGTTCTGTGTCTTTATGTATAAGTCTCATTGTGCACAAATAGTCACTGATACTTTTAATGTTTTGTCTAGTTTGAGACATTAACATTTTAGGTATTAGATATTATCATTCATGTCATGTAGAGACTTATAGAGCAACTAAGAATTCCTGCATTATATAGAGACCATTTATACTTATCTCTAGCACAGAAAGCATCAAAATGGTCTTGTGCAATTTTATGGAGGCACAGAAAAATCATGCAGCAGAAACATCACCATTTTGTCTTTAGCGATATTTTCCTTCATTAGTATCTAGTGCTAAATCCTGAGAAATCAAGCTTGGAAATCTCCTTTTCGTTAGAAAAGTTTGTTCGGTCTATGCGAGAACTTGGGCTTCCAACTTTAGTCAGCCAGGATTTCCTGCAAGAAAAATAATAAGACAGGATTAGCATGTAATGAGCTCTACATGTGGGTTTTGTTGTCCAATGTCTTCACTGTTTAAGAGCTATGCAAAACAGACTTGTTCAGTAAGGAAATCATCTCAAATATTTCAGGTTATATCTCTGTTTTCCCTCTTTCTTCTTTGAAAGTCAAAAAAGTATGTATTTTCAAGCTAATTCATCTTAGTTTTTATCATGTAATAAGAGGAGGTACACAAGCATGATTTTCCACTGTACTGAATCTCAACAAATAGGATGGAGAAGGTATTTTAGTACAATATATTTACAGAATCCAACTTTCTGCTGTGCAATGGGGTCCTCACAGGAAGAAAGCTGCTATATTTCAAAAGRAGGAGAAAAGCTAAATAACAAGACTGACAAAAGACTGTGCCATTTTGTTCCATATTATGAAAAATTTGAAAAGTTCTGCTTACTCAACAAGTCTCTAATATATCCGTATGACCTTGAGTTATAAAACAAATTCAGCAGATTTGACATACAGCATCACTCAAATCCCAAATCTATTTGCACTATTTTAAAAGATAGATGTGATATCAGTAAGTGAGCAAACTCCCAAAAGCTCATCCTTGGGGGCTTCCAGTTCCCAAGCTCGGCTGCACAAAGCACCAAACGCTTCAGACAACGTAGCACTCGCTGTTCAGCACGTGTCGATGAGTAGATCTCTACAGCAAGAGCACTTCAAACAGACCCAAACTTACAGAAAGACACTGAGAAAATAACTGTGGCAAAGTCAGAACATGTGATAACTTCCAAACAGCYTCTTCCTATTGCATTTTATTTCCCGGCTACTGCATGCATGTGTGACRATTGCCACTCATGCTCTGATTTTACGGTTTGACCCAACTGACTGTGCAGAGACTACATGGAGTCAACACTTTAATGGTACATTTATGAAATATGTGACTTCCCTGTCGCGTGGGGCAGCAGATGGCACCATCCAGAAGGATGGAAAASGGTGGGCAGCCATGAGAGGCTCCCAAGCTGCGCATGGGGCCACCCCTGCAGCACCTTCACCTCCCCCAGGGCACCCGCCCTTTCAGGGTGCCCACCAGAGATGCACTGGAGCTGCCAGAGCCCAATTCTGATTGGCTCTCAGCTGCATGCGCTGCCTG